TGCAGCATCTTACCAGCCTGTATCACTTTCCTCTACCTAAAAACTTTAGTCCCCTCTGGTGTCCAGTTTTTGAAATCATGAAATTGCTTATCTTTGTTTTGTCTTGTAAAAACAAACAGAATCTATTTCCTGCGAGAAGCAGTTTGTTCTTTATAATTAATTCCAAAATCTTATTGTAAAAGTTTCAATATTCCAATTTTATCTGGACCCTTAGTCCATTTATAACTTTCTAAGATCAAAATCTTATTTAGCTTTTTGCTGTTTATTTCAGATCCAAAATCTTATTGTAAAAGTTTCAATATTCCAATTTTATCTGGACCCTTAGTCCATTTATAACTTTCTAAGATCAAAATCTTATTTAGCTTTTTGCTGTTTATTTCAGATCCAAAATCTTATTGTAAAAGTTTCAATATTCCAATTTTATCTGGACCCTTAGTCCATTTATAACTTTCTAAGATCAAAATCTTATTTAGCTTTTTGCTGTTTATTTCAGATTCTTTAATTCTTAAGCTTATGATTAAAATTTTCTTTCATTCAGGATTGAAGGCAGACTCACCCAGGGTTTTCAGACTTGTCAGTCCGAAAGTCTCTAATAGCTTAGAAGTAGTTAATGAGCAATTTCCGAAAGTGATAAGAAAGTGAAGTTTGTGAACTTAGTGTCCTTTAAAAGGCTCCACCGCGGTTGCAAGGAAGTTGGCTAATCCCATTGTCTCCTGGTGCTCAAAACCTGCCGAAAACTGCTGTTCTGAGCAGCCATCTGGAGCACATATGCATGATTTCCCATCCTCCCCTTATCCAGAGAGGTTCCAAGGAACTGGTTCCTTGGTCTTTGCTGCGGTCATCAGCTCTGATTTTGCAGAGCCATTTTCAGTTTGTCATACCTCCCCCAGAAGTCATCACAAGTATTTTTTTTTTTTATGGTTATGTGAACACACTAGATTTAAATGAGTGATAATTTTGATTCAGGTCATCCAATAGATCTACCTCCTAACACCAATTTATTTGGCTTACTAAACTTAAATCATAATTTGGTAAAGGGGGATGCCCACAATTTGGAAAAAAAAAAACACATTAAGAACTGTCACTCACACTTAACATATTGTGTGTGCATTTGGTATACTCCGTGACAAATCATTATAGCTAATTGTAAGTCACATTCTTCACAATGCTTAATACTTTCAAAGTAGCCCTTACAATTATTGAAAAGTGCCTAGCTGATTAAACATTTTTTCTGAGGTAAAGTATAACGTGGAAGATTAGAAGTTGAAGATAGATTAGACATGGCCTGATAGTTTCTTCAACTCCTAATGAGATCTTTGACAGCAAGTTTGCAAATAAATCCGTAATAGTTATAAAACACTATTAGAATGCCAGTCCATGCAAAGGAAATGTAAATTGTTTTAAACTCCTTTACATTGTAGTCCTATACATATCTATTCCAAAATAAGTCCTATTAATTTAAACAGTAATTTTGTCCCATGTAAGTGAGTTTACAATTCTAATCTCAATCTTGTAATCTTAAAACAAAGGTTTCAAAAAGCTATTCTGATTCTTGTTTTTGCATATGTTCTTGGAAGGAAGGTTCATTTGTCAGTAGAAGTGATTTCTTGAGAAGCATTACCATTTAGAAAAAGGAGATTTGCAGTGCACAGGGACATGAATGAAAAATCATTCAAATAATTAAAACAGCTGCATCATTTGAAGACTAATGTATTTTGGAAAGAGATGCCACGTATCTTTTTCAAAGGTTTGGCATAGCCCTAATAACATTCCTATCATTTTTACTGTAGTCATTTGTCTGTCTATTCATAAAATTGTCCAATAGGTGTCATAGGGTTTTATTTTCTCTTTGAAGTTCGTAGTAAAAAAACCCCTAAAGTTCTTTGTCCAAACCTCAATAATGCAGGAGGTCAGTGGGTTTTTAAACACTACAGTGCAGATAAAAAGGCTAAATATTGCTAGCATCTAATCACCCAATTATCCCTTCCTACTTTTTTAAATGCAAGTATAAAATAGGGGAACCTTTCAAATTAAAAAAAAAGTGAAGGATAATTAATATTTCGAACAGCTCTGTCAGACCATACAGAAGGAAAAGATACAGTATAAAATACTAGAATTGTACTGTAGGTTAGAAATACCAAACTGGAATAGATCGTAAAATAGCTGAGAGTTGATTTGATTACAGTGAAAATAATAGTAATAATACCATAATAAGAAGAGGAGGAGGAGGAGGGGGAGAAGGTAGAGGTGGTGGTTTGGGAAATCATAGATCTCAATTAAATGCTATATATAGTAAAAAGACAGCTACGTTCAGGAAACTTTACGTATGCCTGGCTAATACACATGTAGGCATTATTCTTTTCATACTGGATTTTTCTTTAGAAAAATCTAAAAAACTAGACCATATATGAACAGTCCATACTCATGAATCACAAGCACCCTTTGCATCATCCCAGATTCTGTTGCCTACCATCACCACCTTGGATGGAGATACGTAGTTAAATAACTACATTAATTAAAATAAATAATCTTAATATTTCATTAATTTTTACCCTCTCTGTCCCCTTTTAAAATCTGTTTAGGTAGCCCCACCCTCTTTTGCAGTGTGGCCTCCTTCAGCAGCTGGTGTTTCGCAGCTCAGTTAAAGCTGTACATACCTGAATTAGAAAATAAGTAGTATCAAATACTGTATCATGTTCACTGTGACCATGTAGCTGAGATCCTAGCCCTTTCCTTGAATGTCCCTAACTCACATAAGAAGCTTTTAGAAGAGATACAAGGTTATGTGGGAATTGCAACAGAAAGATTCAGAATCAGTGATTTGTGGATTTGAGAATCTGGGGTTTGTGGTGAGTTGGAATAACAACTCAGGTTGAGTCAATGATGTAATAATATGTTTATCTACTTGTGCTTATATAAATATAATATTTGTGTGGGTATGTGTGTGTGTATAATGTATAATATGTGTATGCCCCTTTATATTCATAGATGCTTTATCATTTTGCTTTATCCCTCATATAATATCTTTAAGAATGGAATGTTTATTATTGTGGCCATCTGTGCCTTGTATGATTAATTGATTGCAGAGTTCACACCTTGAGAGGAGATAGGACTTGAGGAAATATGCTGCGGTACCTCCTTATCCCTTCTGGTTATAAACACAGGGGCAGTCTGTTAAGAATAACAATCATATCCTTGGCTCAACTTGTATATTAAAGCTGCTGGGTTGCATTTCAAGGAATGTGTGTGTGTTCACATTATGATGGATGTTTGTGTCTTCCTTCTTGGTTATCCTGTTTCCTTATAAAGCCATGTTTTCTTTATTTGGGATCTTCTGCTTGTATATACACATGCCTGAACTGTGTTTCATCAACATTTCATATAAGATCTCTCTTACTCTTTCATTTAGGTACAAGAGACCAGTAATTCACTGTAACCTGGTAGCTTTGGAACTAATAAACTACTGTTTGGATCTCTCCAATTGTTGGTGCTTTCCACCACAGGATTAATTTTACTTGGATGATTAGGCGACTAGCATTTTTTTCTATTTAAATGTAAACGACTTTTACAGTTCCTTGGATCTGATCAACAGTCCTATAAAACCTTGAATATGTGCATGTGTTTAAACTCTTGTTTCTGTCTGCGAAGGTCGTCTTCAGTTACAAGCAGATCGTTACCAACAGCATATTAGAACCCGAGATTCATTAATTCAGTCTTTGGCAGCTCAGTTGGAATTGGAAGGATTTGAAAGAGCACCCTTAAATGAAAGACAAATTAATAGTTTTCAGAGGCTGGTGAAAGAGAGACAGGACAAAGATATGGAAACTGCTAATAATTTAATGGTAAATATTTGTGTTTGTACATTTAATTTTTTTTTAATGGAAAGAAATATATATTTTTGCTTCTGTCCAGTATATTTCTGCAGTGATAAAATATCCCTGGCACCATTTTTTGAATAAAAATAAAGAGAAATGTATTACATACAAACTAGTTACAACTTTTGCAAGTATGAATATGTTAGTAGATACCAATAACAATTTTCTTTCTTGATGTGTGAGTCTGCCAAAATTAGCAAAATTAAATGGTTAGTAAACTGGGCTTAATCTGTGACGTGCTATGCTCCAGAACCAAAGAGCTCATTTCAGATAAACAGCACATCTGACAGGGATTCCAGCTCAGCCCTTATTGGTGGTTTTTTTTGGGCTTTTTAACATAAAACATTATTTTAAACAGGTATGCTCCTGTCATAAAATCAAATTGGTAGTAATACATGCTACTTTTCAGGGCCCTAGTAAATGAGACACAAAATATTTCAGAAATCATAATTGTACAGGTGATCCTTGACTTACGATGGCAATTGGGACCAGAATTTCTGTCGCTAAGCAATGCAGTCATAAACCTCGACTACATTGCTTAGCGACAGCAATCCCTGCAGTTCTGGTTGCTGTCGTTAAACTAAATCCCATGTCATTAGACAAGGCAACTTCCTGTCAGCTTCCAACAACTAAGTCAGTGGGAAGCTGGCAAAAAGTTGCAAGTCCCAGGTGGCTTGCCAGCAGCCAGGTAAGTGGCTGTTGCCAGGTGGGGGAGGGTGTGAGGGAGGTACGGGGAGGGTGCGTGGGGTGTGTGAAGGAGGTGAGACTTGGGGAGGGTGTGCAAGGATGTGAGAGGCATAGCGAAGGTCAAGGAGGGTGCATGGGGTGTGCGAGGATGGTGATGCAGGGGTTGGGGAGGGTGTGCAAGGGAGCCACAGGGAGGCTTGAGAGTGAGGAGGTGCGCAAGTGACTGGTGCGGTGCAAGCGCAAAGGAGCTGGGATAAGGTGCATGGGTGGGGAGATTTATCCCAGCAACTTGCAACCTTCCTTGGCAGCTTCCCCATTGGCTGGTTTGCAAATGGCAATCACGTGTAATTGGGCGCTGTAAATGGTTGTAAGTGCGAGCTGGTTGCCAAGTGCCCAGATTGCAATCATGTGCTGCGGGGATATTGGTGTGGCCAGAACTCTGAGGACAGTGATAACCACCATTTATTCAGCCCTGTTGTAACTTCGATCACTGAACAAATGGTTGTAAATCGAGGACTATGTGTATGTATGATTTATTTTTGTACGTTAGCAGAGGCAGTGAAGGAATAACATGTTTGAGATCTTCCCCTTAGTCTGATAATCATAAATCTAGATAGTCACAAAAACAATTGTAGCTTAGTCTATCTTGATTACTATTATTTTGTGTATGTGCAAAGAGTTCCATGTGCAGAGTAAGCATCAGAAGAAAATTCCTGTGTACAGGCTGCGTACAGTTTAGTTTTTATATTACTGTTATTATATCCCATCCCCATCTTGAGTTCACAGTTTAGGAATCAAGAAATACGATAACCCATAATTTGATCTAATCTATAATTTGTTCTGTGTGGAGTTGTTGGTTGCTATTAGAAAACAAACTTAGGTTAGGTTTAATAATTTGCCAAGCCATAAGGTGGTCTGTTTGATTTGGTTTAGCATATTATATGAATGCAGTCATTGTGGCTTATTCAACAAATCGTGTTTGTAACAAATCATGGATTAGTGCAGAATGTGAATCAAATGTTAGTACTCCAGATTTCAAACACAAAAAACATCTTTGTATTATGTCTCTATAGTGACTAGATTGGTTGGGGCCATATGTGTATATAAATTATCACAAGTTTGGTTAGGCTCAGTATAGTAAAATAATTCATTAAAAGCATTAGTTGTGGAACATTTCTTAGCTTTAGTCTATTTAGATGAGGGATAGGGTTTTTTTTCTTTAATTTAACTCTAAATGATTGTGTATGACATCAGTATTGACAGAATTCTTCACAGAATTATATAAGTATTTGTATATATTGTATAATTACAAAGCATTATTGCCAAAATGTTATTACTTGATTTGATGCCATCCTAACCCATTTAATTACAGAGGATCCTGCTTGTAGTGGGCTAACTTGTAAGTACGTTTTAGAATACAGCCTTTGTTTGAATAAACTGTGATTTTATCTTTTTTTCAGAGAGAATTTGGCGAGAAGGAAACAATGAAGCAGAAACAACTTGATGAAATAAGAGATAAAAAAACTGGACTTGAAAGAACCATTGCCCTAAAGTCAGACATTCAAAATAAGAAGCAGCTTGAACTGAAGAATCTAAAACAGGAATTACGTCAGCTTGAAGGATCATCAAATCGACTCCTAGAACTGGATCAAGAACTTACAAAAGCAGTAAGGCTTAGTTAACAAACTTATATGTGATATGTAATAAAACTAAAGGATAAACATAGCTGTTTGCATCCACAGTTTTTGTTCTAAATACTCTCTAAATAAATATTTCTAAAACTAATTCCCTCTAATTTATTTTTTCCAAGTAGGAAGATATTAAACCCACAGCTCCCCCATGCATGCCACATTGTCAAGACATGAGAGCAAAACATTTTCCCTCCTCTAAAAAAAATCTCTTTCTCCAAACATTTCTCCCTCAAAGTTGCTTTGTGTTTGCTTTCTAGTTGCTTTGCTGACTTCAGATTTCTGATTTCTTCAACCTCCCCTTCCATTTTTAATGTGCTTGCTGGCTAACCCAGGGCTTGTACACATAAAAAAGTACATGGGTGAAATTACTGTGTTAAATGCAGCCAACGATCTGCATATAATGAGGAGTTAGGAATCTGAACTAATCCATTCCTTTGCCTCTAACATTCCTTTGCTGACCAAGAAGCTTGCAGGAAAACTGAAACTGCATATAAATTTGGTTAGTTTGCTTGCAGATCTGTCTATCATTACTGGAGAGAAGGTCGTAAATGGAGGGGTGAGACTGGAGTCCATGTTGTCAATTCTATTCATGTGTACATTTTTTCAGTGCCTCCATAGGACTATCTTGCATTTTAGGAATGTGTCTCAGATTAGTTCAATCCAGTTATTAACTTCATGAGATCTCCATATTTAGGCTCAGTCAGAATATGCTGAGTGCTCTCTGAAAATGCTGCTGGAGGGATGTCATCAGTTACAATTAACAGAATGGCGCATGCTGCTCCTTCTAAGGGCATTCTCAATCTGCATTGCTCTTTTTGAAGAAATGCAGCCCAATTCAAAACAGGCTACATATTGAGACTCCCTGTGATGATGAAATGTGAAGAAGATGCCACCAAAATAGCCTCTTAATTGTCACCTTGTTAAATGTCAGATATCAGAACAGAACATAAGAGGCTATTTTGGTATAGCCAAGAGTCTGGGTATATCACCTCAAATGGCACATGCAGGTTTTCTGTATGCAGATACTTTTTCCATAGGCAGGTGCTATTACCAGGAGCCTGAAATAGTCCAACCAATTGACTATTCTCATTCTTTCAGTGAGAAAAAGAAGTAATGACTGAGAGGTGTTTTCTTCAGCAGCTACAAAAAATATCCTGTTTCTATTGCTAGGATTAGCATTAATTCAGTGAATACTGTTCTAGTCTGTTCATTAGAATATGTGTCCCTAAATAGAGGTAAAAATCTGCTTCCTTTTATTTCTGTTCAGAAACATGAATTAGTTGAAGCTGAGAAAAACTGCAACGTTGAAACCCTAGAAATGGAAATTAAAAAACTGCAAGGAGAAAAGGCAAATTTGGACAGTACTCTTCGGAAACTGGATAAAGAGATGGAACAACTGAACCTGAATACTACAGTTATAACCCAAATGGATATGCTGAAAAAAGATAAAGTAGTGTATTTTCTCTGACATGCCTAAATATGCTGGAAATAGAGCACAGATCAAGGTTGCATTAAAATAACAGTTCAAATATAATGCTAGATCCATCATTTGGCACTACAAAGATAAACATAGTTTCCCACTTCTATGAAGTACCAAACAATCTTTATATCAAAGTAAAGAGAAACACATACTGAGGGCCTTTAAAACTTTATTTATGTAGTTTACTATTAAGTCTGAGCTAGTTCAGTATTTACAGAATGAGAAATTACTTTTTTGCTTATAAGTTATCTTTATCGCTGTTTCTTCTTTTAAGGCTGACAAAGAAGACCAAATCAGAAAAATTAAATTTAGACACAATGAAGAATTAATCTCCTTGTTGGGATTTTTTCCAACCAAAAATCAGCTTGAAGATTGGATTCACTCTAGAGTTCAAATAATTAATCAAACAAGAGACAAACTTGCCAAGCTCAAGTAAGTATTCATTTTGTTTGATGCAGTAATGCAGTGTGGGGATTAATGTTAATTATATAGGACTTTCACTTTTGGATGCATTAGTGCAGAAGCATTAGTACAGAATTTAGTCTGCTGGATGTTAAAAAAAATGTACTTTGAATTTCATTAAATTAACAGTTGTCTACAGTGGATTGCCTTAAAAAGGGGATTATTTTCAATATTTTTGTTGATCCTTTTCAAACAAGGACCCAAAACTTCAAACAAGTATACCAAAAAAAAAAAAAAGTATCTGAATATGTCCATTTAAAAGAATGAAAAAGTAAGAACAGAACATTTGAACCTATGTAAAAAGCATAATAGCATTCAGAAACCTATTATTAAAATGCCTGCTAAAACAGATTATTGTAAGTTACCTGTTGAAAGTTAATCAGTAATGGAGACTTCTGGGGAAGAAATGGTGAACTGAAGGCGACTCCACAAAAAACAGAGCAGACAACCACAGAGGAATTAAGAGCCAGCGAATAGACCGGCTCTTTGTAATTCCTCTCCAGACAGGGAAAGGACTTGAGATTGCCCACAAGTGCTCCAGACAGTTGCTCCTTGCAAAGAGACAACAAGATGGCGGTCTCCAGTGGATTTAGAGCTCTGGGAAATGAGGGAATAGCTATCTTGCTCAAACCACAGTTGGCTTCTTCAAAAGGACACTGGGTTTGCATACTTGCTTTTCTAATCACTTTTGGAAATTGCTTGTTAACTGCTTTTCAGCTATTAGGAACCTTTTGATCAATAAGCTTTACAGTATCCGGTAAGTTTCCTTCACTCCTTAGTGAATGAAGTTTTAAATACAAGTTTAAGGACTTAATTTTTTTTTCTGGAATAAACAGCAAAAGATGTTTAAAACTTTGATTTTAGAAAGTTAGAAACAGACTAAGGGTCCAGATAAATTTGAATTAAGATTTTGGAATTAATTATAAAGAATTATTCCTGTAGGAAAATGCTTTTGTTTTGAATTCTTTAAAAATGAGATAAGACTTTAAAATTGGACACTAGAGGGAACTAAAGATTACAGTTAAAGGAGAAGAGAACACTCAAACTGGACTTACTAATACAGAATGAAACAAAACATTGGACATATTGAAAGATATTTTTGAACAATGGGCTCAGAAATTACTTTTATCTGCCTCTGTAGATAGACTGTGTTTAAAAGAAGCTATGGAAGAGAAATGAGTATTACCTGACATGATTGAGACTGATTGAAGTGGATTTAAAAATGACAGGCTACAAGAATAATATGGAAAAAGATGTTATACTGGACATACAAAAGAAACCAGCTGATATCTTAATAATTAAAAGAGATATACAAATAACAAACTAAGAGAGTGACCTAGATAATTTTCCCATATTGGATTTACAAAAGAGTCTTGTTAAAGTTTTGAAGAATTTTGTGAGAAGGGACAGAGAAAAAATGAAAAGAAATAAAGTTCTAGGAAGTTATTTGAAGGGACTAAAGATCAAGATTGTTAAAAGTAAAAGGAAGGAATATAAGGTTGGTTTATTTGATCAA